TTTTTTAACTTAATTATTTTCTTTCTAATGAATTTATTCTCTTCATAGGCAGCTTTATAATATCCTTGTTTAATCAGAACAGTATCATCTGTACTAATGACATATATAGTGACATTAGTACACTCTAAATCTTCAAGACCTTCGGCAAACATTTCTACTTCATTAAGTAGAAATTTGTAGATTTTTAATTTTTGTTAAGTAGTTAATTCATTGTTATTAATCATTTCTAACAATTTTTCTTTTATAGTCTTCTCTTTTTCCTTGTTATCTTCTTTTTGTGTAGGGACTTTTTCTATATTAGTGAAGTATAGTGCTAAACTTTTTTCCTTATTTAAGAGTCAACTTTTGATATTTTTTTCGTCAAATTCTTTTTTCTCATAATCAAATTTATTGAATGTGTCTCTGCTATTACTATATAAATCTTCATTTTGGTATGGAATAAGATTTTCAACCCCACTGTTTGAAATTTGGACTTTTGCTGATCTATCGGCATATTGTAAGTATAACTTCTGCTTGTCAAAATGAATTCAAGCTTTTGTCTTTTAAAACCAATCAGTTTTTAATAATAAAGTATTATTTGATGCCTTGATTACATGTAAGGTGATAGGGATTACTACATCCTTAATTACTATTCTTACATCTTTTATTTTTCCCAATGTTTTAGTTTTTGCCCCTGTTGCCATTACTATTGTTGTAATAGACTTATTATCTATCTTTAAATCAAGTTTATCCAATAATTGTTTGAATATAATGCTTACTGTGATGCCAGAATCTAACTCAGCTAATAGTAGATTATTACAAATCCTTATATAACATCGAGGAGCAGTTATATGAAGATATTCTTTAAGGAAGTTTGTTTCTTTTATTATTGACAGCCATTTCAATATCTTAGTTAAATTCATTTTTTGATTTGGATATTGTAGTATTTGTCTTACTATAGCACTAGTAGGTAAAGATAGAATATCATCTGCTACATTATACAGCTTTAACGAATCAACTATTGAAGCATCATGTTTTCTTTTTGGTTTTATGAGTAGAAGTGGGTTTTGTAAAGTAGTAGGTATAACATCTATATTTTGTTCTATTTCTTTTTCTTAACTTTTGGCTATTTTTCTTAATCTATTTTCCTATTTTGGGTTTCTATCTGCTTTGTTACTTGTTGCAGAGTAATTCTATTATTTACTATATATACTTCATTTTTATTATCCTCTAATTTACAAAAACTAATAGTTTTTGTTTGACTAATAGTTCTATTTTCTCTTCTTTTATTTTTATAAGGATAAATTTTTTCTGACATACAGTATCTACTTATATGGCCCGTTTTGCTACAATTATAATATTTTGTTCTTCTTTTCCTTTCTCACTGATTATTTGTCAGATGGCCTATAGATAAATTTTCCTAGAGACATTTATTTATTGTTTCTCTTATTTGTGTAGTTAAGGTTGCGTAATTTAATACCAGATTGTCAATTCGGTTCTTCATATTATTTAACTTATTCCCCATTTGTCATGGTCCTTCTCCTCTTTCAGATAGTTGTTAACCATAATAATCGTTAGCTTCAACTCTTCTTGCTGCCGCCGCTATTGCTTTTGTTAAGTTTTTTGGGCTGCTACAGCTACAAATATAGCATTATTTCCTTTTAACCCGTTCAGAAACATCCGTATCATATATCCGTCTGAGAAACTATTATTAACATTAATTCTACTAAGTAACTTTTTGAATTTAGTAACATAAGTATCCAATTTTTCAGATTTCTTTTGTTATAACTTATAGAGTTCAATTTGCCAATAATGTTGACATTCTTCAGAAGCAAACTGTTTTATAAACAAATGGTAAAAACTTTTATTTCGTTTTCTTTCACCCTCTTTGTTCCAATATTTAATGTCTTTTTTAATTTTTTTATATTATTCAGCAGCCATTTCCTTTAAGTATCCTGATGCAATTTTTACTTTTCGTTCTTTGGCTCAATTATTAGCCTCACTGCCCTTTCGAAATCATCAAACCATTTGAAAGGATCTTCATCATCAGTACCATAAAAGTATTTGACTTTTACAAAATTATTTTCTTTCAATAAGACTTTTGTTTCATTTTTACTAACAGATTTGATCAGCACATCCATAATTGTTGAAACTGATCATTATTCATTTTAAATTGAGTTTTGTAGCTTTAATTATAGTTATAAAGTTAATATCTCACAGTCACCACCAAATGTTATAGGGTGAATCATAGGTTTATTTAGTTTAACACAAAAATATAATTTTTAGACGATATAAGGAGGCATGACATTGGTGTTTGGTATTAATTTATTTTATTTTATGAGTATGACCAGGTGATTTATTAATATATTGTGAGAGAATTATTAGAATCCCATAGAATGATTTTTTAAGACGGGCGAAATGCTAGAGTTTTTATAACTTTAGCAAATGTAATGGATTCAAGGGCTTAGAGATGACTCATATATTACATCCTTAACGATTTTAAGAAACTACTTCTAAGCTAGGGGGCTTACAATGATAATTTACAATATTATTATAATGGAAGAAAGGCTTTGCTTCGCTCCTACACTCATTCACTTTTCAGCCACTTCAACTATATCTAAATCTTGTCATTAGGTCTTCTTTTATTTCTTCTTACGCGTTTCTTGTTCTTCGGATTTCGCGTTGGTTATTGTTTTATCTTTATTTGGCCGATAAGCCTCAACCGATAAACCAGTATTTCTTGGATCTATTGCTTCAATCACGGGTTTGCTATGCCTAATTTTGTAAATCCTTCATTTTAGCCCGTGACACCATCAATTTGTAACTAACTTTTAAATATAATTTTTTTTTTAGTTATATAGCTTTAAATATATAATAATTTTATATGATAACATATAAAAAAAAAAGTCAAAAATAGGATACATCTTATAATGAATGATATACAGATATAAAGAAAAATAGTTTATCTTAGAAGGTAACATTTGTTACATAATATAAAAATTTACTACCGGTATGCAAATCAGTGTTGGCAGAAT